ACCTTCATCTGTCTCTTGGTGGTCACTACCTCGTCCAGTCCCTGCTGTACCTCCACCTTCATCTGTCTCTTGGTGGTCACTACCTCGTCCAGTCCCTGCTGCACCTCCACCTTCATCTGTCTCTTGGTGGTCACTACCTCGTCCAGTCCCTGCTGCACCTCCACCATCAACTGTCTCTTGGTGGTCACTACCTCGTCCAGTCCCTGCTGCACCTCCACCTTCATCTGTCTCTTGGTGGTCACTACCTCGTCCAGTCCCTGCTGCACCTCCACCTTCATCTGTCTCTTGGTGGTCACTACCTCGTCCAGTCCCTGCTGCACCTCCACCATCAACTGTCTCTTGGTGGTCACTACCTCGTCCAGTCCCTGCTGCACCTCCACCTTCATCTGTCTCTTGGTGGTCACTACCTCGTCCAGTCCCTGCTGCACCTCCACCTTCATCTGTCTCTTGGTGGTCACTACCTCGTCCAGTCCCTGCTGCACCTCCACCTTCATCTGTCTCTTGGTGGTCACTACCTCGTCCAGTCCCTGCTGCACCTCCACCATCATCTGTCTCTTGGTGGTCACTACCTCGTCCAGTCCCTGCTGTACCTCCACCTTCATCTGTCTCTTGGTGGTCACTACCTCGTCCAGTCCCTGCTGTACCTCCACCTTCAACTGTCTCTTGGTGGTCACTACCTCGTCCAGTCCCTGCTGTACCTCCACCTTCATCTGTCTCTTGGTGGTCACTACCTCGTCCAGTCCCTGCTGTACCTCCACCTTCATCTGTCTCTTGGTGGTCACTACCTCGTCCAGTCCCTGCTGTACCTCCACCTTCATCTGTCTCTTGGTGGTCACTACCTCGTCCAGTCCCTGCTGTACCTCCACCTTCAACTGTCTCTTGGTGGTCACTACCTCGTCCAGACGTCTGGGCGGCCAACTGTCCCGTTAACATCCAAACAACCTGTCGCCCAGTCACCAGTCTCCCAGCCCGTCCTCCTAAGGTTTCCCAACGTCAAGAAACTGTCGCACTTGTACCAGGGGGAAAAAATTTTGCCCATTTGTCTCTGCCTGGGATCGAACCCGGGCCCTTAGGCCTACGTCAGGTGTCGAGGTAGATACATCGTCGCCCTCACGTGGATGCGTGGTTCTTCTCTATCTAACACAATGCTCTGGAGTCAGTCACTGTATCCTTATGACTGTTGTGTTACAGTTCACTAATTTACTGTATCACTGTTCACTATAGTCCAAGTATACCTAGGTACCAATATGTAAACAAAAGCCTCGTGGCCCTGCTTCCCACATGGCTTGGTGTTGGTGATTGATCACTGTTTAACACAAAGTTCTGGTGATATCAGTGTATTTTTTTCTTTCCTATGTGCGGTTATACACTTTGTGATACCCGAGACCTGTGGTCCAGCACTGTATTCTTAATAAGGCCGAGAATATTGACGATTATTGTGGAGCGCGACCCTCCCACACCCTCCCACATGGCTGGCGACGTTCACACCAGTGAATTCCATTTCAGAACTCCGTTTCATGCTTATATTTGTTTTTGGGTGAGGTAATATGACATAAATGTTTTGGGTGAGTTGATAAAACACGAACCAATGGGTAATAATGGGGTGAGGATACCCAATGTGTGTGTGTGTGTGTGAGAGTGTGTGTGTGTGTGTGTGTCTGTGTGTGTGTGTGTGTGTGTGTGTGTGTGTGTGTGTGTGTGTGTGTGTGTGTGTGTGTGTGTGTGTGTGTGTGTGTGTGTGTGTGTGTGTGTGTGTGTACTCACCTAGTTGTACTCACCTAGTTGTGCTTGCGGGGGTTGAGCTCTGGCTCTTTGGTCCCGCCTCTCAACTGTCAATCAACAGGTGTACAGGTTCCTGAGCCTATTGGGCTCTATCATATCTACACTTAAAACTGTTGTGTGTGTGTGTGTGTGTGTGTGTGTGTGTGTGTGTGTGTGTGTGTGTGTGTGTGTGTGTGTGTGTGTGTGTGTGTGTGTGTGTGAGCTTGTGAGTAAATTGTTTTCCACATTAGTCAGTGAAACAGGAGATGGATATTCTGTAAAATTCAATCAACGGATGTAATTAATATTCAGGAAGCAATCTATACCATTCACATAATTAAATTCACACACACACACACACACACACACACACACACACACACACACACACACACACACACACATGCACTCACCCTCGCATGGACAGACACACAAACACACACACACACATATATATATATATATATATATATATATATATATATATATATATATATATATATATATATATATATATATATATATATATATATATATATATATATATATATGTCGTACCTAGTAGCCAGAACGCACTTCCCAGCCTACTATGCAAGGCCCGATTTGCCTAATAAGCCAAGTTTTCATGAATTAATGTTTTTTCGACTACCTAACCTACCTAACCTAACCTAACTTTTTCGGCTACCTAACCTAACCTAACCTATAGAGATAGGTTAGGTTAGGTTATGTAGGGTTGGTTAGGTTCGGTCACATATCTACGTTAATTTTAACTCCAATAAAAAAAATTGACCTCATACATAATGAAATGGGTAGCTTTATCATTTCATAAGAAAAAAATTAGAGAAAATATATTAATTCATGAAAACTTGGCTTATTAGGCAAATCGGGCCTTGCATAGTAGGCTGAGAAGTGCGTTCTGGCTACTAGGTACGACATATATATATATATATATATATATATATATATATATATATATATATATATATATATATATATATATATATATATATATATATATATATATATATATATATATATATATATATATATATATATATATATATATATATATATATATATATATATATATATATATATATATATATATATATATATATATATATGTACTAGAGATCTGTATAATTCAGAATAAAAACGTAAAATGTATTAAAGAATGCCAGGACAAAATATGAAAAATATATGTGCACGACAACAAAAATCTAATATAGTATTTCAACTGTAACTAATATTATATGAAATGTGATGCGACGTGAAATGACGAGGAAATAAGAATTATATTAATGTGGCACCATAAGTGGCTGGAGATAGGTATACTGAGACTGTTAAAGGAGGTATACTGAGACTGTTAAAGGAGGTATACTGAGACTGTTAAAGGAGGTATACTGAGACTGTTAAAGGAGGTATACTGAGACTGTTAAATGAGGTATACTGAGGCTGTTAAAGGAGGTATACTGAGACTGTTAAAGGAGATATACTGAGACTGTTAAAGGAGGTATACTGAGACTGTTAAAGGAGATATACTGAGACTGTTTAGGGTAAGGTGACTACCCAGTGAGGATGTGTTAAGCAAACAACATTGATTCCATGGATTCCAGCTTGCTACAATTGCCATAGTACTATGTGAATGGGTATTAAAACCAACTTTTTGGATGCATCCAAAAGTAGTTTTTTTCTCCATCCTTTATTATCAAAGTGCTGTACACATTGTTCTTAAGAACATTGTATATGCACCACCTTGATAAAGGATGGGGATTGCATCCGTAAATTTGATTTTAATACACTTTCTTTAATACTTACACTTACTTTAATACTTACACTTACTTTAATACTTACACTTTTATACATATTGGTCTTTTCTTCACCTTCTTTGATTCAACATGGATTCAGTGTTACTAAAGCGTGTTTTATCCACGATAGGTTAATGGTACTGCACCCCAACATACATATAATGTTACCCAAACATTTTAACAACATTGTTACAATGCAGTGGATTAACGTCGATTCGACGTAAGACCAATCCTCTTCTTGGATATTGTGTCCACAGAGGATATGATCATACGAAGAGGAGCAGATACTGGAGACAGAATATATGGCAATATGTTAACACCCCAGGGAAACAACTCAACGGAAATTATTGTTTCAAAAACTGCAGAACTGATATAATAAATAATATTATTAAATTAAAAAGATTCAATGAAAAAACACTTATTTCTATCAAAAGTAATGGAAACTTTTTGAAAGCAAAGAGTGAATACATTTTCCTATTAGACAAGGCATAGAAAATGGGAAAGGGATTACATATGATGTTCGACATCCATGGAAGTCGTGCCTCTTACACTAGTGTTGAGCAGACGTGTGTGTCAAGCTGTCACTTGTAAACAATATAGCTGCTATAGTAAACAAGACCGGCTCTAAGCTATCAGTGCGCAATGCAATTATGTACAATCGATAGCACAAGCTGTGGGTTTATATTGTCTAAAAAATGCAAAATTGGTAAGCCTCGTATCAATTATCGTTCAAATAAATAATAATTACATTACAATAATATAGATGGGACAGTCATTTTTTGTAATGCTAAGGATAACGAAAATAATTTTACCCTTTACCTTACATGATCATAATTCAACACACAAAGTAATAGACAAAAAGTATAGAACGGCATATATGACACTTTTCATGGACATTCAGATACTCTATATGTCACGAGAGCCTTTTTATACAAACTGTGTGGGTAACATGACACCCACACTGGTGGTACATATAGACTCATGTACCAGAGTCTTTATGTACATACAGACTCTGTTACACATAGACTCTGATACATATAGACTCCAGTACACATAGACTTCGGTACACACAGACTACTGTACACATTGATTCTGGTTCACACATTCTCTGGTACACAGAGACTCCAGTACACCCAGAATCCTGTGAAGATTCTTCCCCGTAGGTAACACAGGTTAAGTTGTGCATGCTAACTTCATTAACTTAAGTGTTATCCAATAGGCTTTTTGGAAATTCGAACCCTTTGCTAACTAGTTCTGGGGCCATATATACATGTTGTAGCTCATTCTCACCCATTTATTGTGCAGTTCTCTGAGCAAGTAGAGAACATGGGGATCCACACAAGAATTTCCTGTTGGAAAATCTCAAAAGTAATCACCAAGGCAAAGCACTAAGCCAGCATAGCTATATAGTAAAAAATCTAGAGCTTTTAATGATTTAATGTAATTTTTGACAATTTTATTAATGAACCCAGAAAGCAAAGGCTGTTATTGTCGTGGCAAGTGCACAAGTTATGTCTTACAAGTTGTATAAATAAAGGTATATCCCAACAAACATACAACATAACAGCAATGTTTTTTTCAAGTTGCAGCAATGTGATAACATTGTTGGAACGTTGTGGTTAGGTGGGATAATCATCTGGATGATATAATAACTCCATATACTTTAGTGCTAAACAGTCTTGATCTCTGTGACCACTGGTCGCACTTGACGACTGGACAACCCATCCTCTCACCTAAGATGTCGCAATTATTATGTTCCTCTCACCTAAGATGTCGCAATTATTATGTTCCTCTCACCTAAGATGTCGCAATTATTATGTTCCTCTCACCTAAGATGTCGCAATTATTATGTTCCTCTCACCCAAGATGTCGCATTTATTACGGAATTGACTAATTCGTTAAAATGTGATGTATTAGAAATATAAAAATTGTCACAATGTTGATGTTTCCTATACACTGGCATCCATAGGTTGGATATGTTGCTTGGGTTCATACATTCCTGATTAGGCAAAACAGTTGCATTTTGGACGGAGCGGCGAATGGAGAGAATGGGTTGGGTTGGATTGGAAACCCCAAATATGCGGGATGACATTATATTGTCGGGTGACAATAAGTCTGTTCTTAGGCTTATCGTGGTTCCCCAAGGCCAGCTACTGACCTTCACCAGAATGCAATCCACTATAGTTGCCTTACTCCTGGGTACCTATTTTACCGTTAGATGAACAGGTGTATTAGGTAAGAGGAAATGTGCCCAACCGTTTGTCCTGCATAAGAACTGAACTTGGGCCATACAGTTGTGAGCCGAGGACATAGATCACCGTCCAGCCATAGGATCCTTAACATATTAACACAGTCACCAGCACTTTTAATGAATGATTAAATCTTGTGTAAAATTTGACTTTTATATAGATTGAATGTATGAAGACAATCAAGAAAGTCTTACCCTATTACCACACAACGTTACCACAACTTTTTTTCTAAATTACAGCAATGTAATAATGATGTTGGAATGTTGTGGTTTGGTTACCCCCAACAAACACACAACCCAACCACAACGTTGGTGAAAAATCACAACGTTGGAACAATGTAATCACAACCATGCAACAATATAACCACATTAATGCCACAATTAAATACAATGTTGCCACAATTAAATACAATGTTGCAACAACGAATCTACAACAGTGTGGCACCATAACTGTAACAATACAAACCCACAACATTTGTGGCAATGCAGCTACAACATTGTAATAACATAAAACTACAACACTGTAGAAGTATTGGCAAAACTGCAACAACATAAAATGACAACACTATAGCAACATAACATTGCAACAATACAAAACCACAACATAGTGACAACGTAACTGCAACATTGTGGTAATATAACTGCAACATTGCAACAACATAAAACCTCAACTCTGAAGTAAGTGCACAACATTATAGTAACATATTTGCAATATAAAACCCACCAAATTGTAGCTCATAGACACAACATTGCAAAAACATAACTGCAACATTGCAGCAACATCACCACACCGTTGTTGTTAGATTGTGTGATTGTTGGGATGGTGCTGGATCAAGAGCACAGTCACAGGCACCTTGCTCAACAGGCACAAGAGCTGCATTGAGTAGGTTGACCAGACCACACACTAGAACGTGAAGGGACGACGACGTTTCGGTCCGTCCTGGACCATTCTCAAGTCGATTGTTGGGTGAGAATGGTCCAGGACGGACCGAAACGTCGTCGTCCCTTCACATTCTAGTGTGTGGTCTGGTCAACATACTTTAGCCACGTTATTGTGACTCATCGCCTGCATTGAGTAGAATAACTTACTACTCTTATCTTCACTCAAATCGGATGGATGGATGGTCAAATCGTACATAAGAGTGTTCAACAAAGCTCGTTTTCTGATTGTCAAAACTGCATAAATCACTAAGTTAGCATGTATTAGCTAAGTTAGACTGTGTTAAGCTTGCTTGGGTTGAGTGAGTTGGGTTGGATAAGGTTAGTTTGGGTTAAATTAGTGTAAGTTAGGTTGGGTTGGATAAGGTTAGTTTGGGTTAAATTAGTGTAAGTTAGGTTGGGTTGGATAATGTTAGTTTGGGTTAAATTAGTGTAAGTTAGGTTGGGTTGGATAAGGTTAGTTTGGGTTAAATTAGTGTAAGTTAGGTTGGGCTGGATAAGGTTAGTTTGGGTTAAATTAGTGTAAATTAGGTTGGGTTGGGTTAGATTGGTTTTGAAATCTGTTGGCGAACCGTCTTGTGTACGATGTGACCTGTATCCTGCAAAATATATCTCAATTTGAACAATGTCTATCCTACAGAGTCGAGAGTTTACAAGAGTATTCACAGTAGAGCAAGTCTGTTTAGCAGAAAGTTTATAAGTATATTAGCAACCCATCCTCAAACCCAATACGTCGCATTTTTAACGGAATCAATCAATCCGGTAAAATGTGAGCCTTAAATACAAAATTCAAGCACTGTAATATTAACGTTTTCTAGGGATTGGGTTAGACTGGTTAGATGTGTGGCTTGGGTTCGCACGTCTTTGGTTAGGCAAAACACTTCATTTTAACGGAGTAGCAATTCAAGAGAACAGGCTGAACAGTACTCAAACTAACCATGATTCAAGAGAACAGGCTGAACAGTACTCAAACTAACCATGATTCAAGAGAACAGGCTGAACAGTACTCAAACTAACCATTATTATGCTATTATTGCCAATATGATTGCAATATATTATGCAAATGTTGCCATTATTATTATTACACACGTTTCGTAACAGTGCATGCGAGAGGTACAATAGTGGTATTTACAATATATTAAACATTTGACTTTATTCCATACCAGCTGGAAGTTATATGATAAAAGACTCAATACGGTTGTGCAGCAACCCGTCCTCTTAAAAATAACGTCACTTTTGGCTCGTATGCGCCGCTATGGTCAAATTTGGACGTAATTTGAAATGAAATCTACTCACAAAAGTGACGTACTGTTCCGTTTTCTGTTCGAGTCGTCCGGCTTACTCGGCCAGCTTAGAAAAGGATTCTTTCCATTAACGTTTTTCATACCGTTTTGAAACTTTATGAGAATTTCCTGCCCACCTAACCTATCAGAGAACCCTTAGCATACTGTTGTTGAAAAAAAAATTCCCAAATTTATATTAATTTTTTTTTCATTTTCAAATTACGTCCATATTCGGCCATACTGGCAGACGGCCAAAAGCGACGTTCTTTTTAAGAGGGCAGGTTGCGTGCAGAACCTACACGTGAGCAGCCATTCCGGGACACACATCGTTCATGTTAGTCTCCTTGCGACGACAAAATCTACGTCACCCAACGTTACTATCAAACAAGTACGTCCTTAACTGCAGCTCAAATACCAGTACAAAACTGCGACCATTTTGGTCTAATTGCTCTACAACTGGGCCAGGATTCATCAAGCATTTACCGAACCACTTAAGAAACGTGTACGTCTTTTCTCAGTCATGGCGGCTTTATTTACATTTATTAAACACTTTATGAGCTCCGATGCACTGCAAGGTTCTTTTTAACAATAATAACCCTGGGTTGTGAAGTTTCCAAGCTGGTAAACTGTTTAATTAGCGTAACAAAATCCACTAATATTAAGGAAAGAAATACGGGTTTTGTAAGGGGTTAAGTAAATGCTTGACGACTTCTGGTCCTGGTCTTGAATAGTAATGATGGTCTAACAGGGCAACACTATCAGTTCGCCAACACTGACTACTGTGGAGGGGGGCCCAGACCACAGGAGGAGGGGCCCACAGACCACTGGAAGGGGCCTAGACCACTGGAGAGGGCTTAATAAACCCCCTAGAAGGGCCAAGTCCAACAATTAAACCCCCGACCATTAATTGGACCTCGACCATTGCTAAGCCTTAAACACTTAAGGAATCAGGGCCACTGGCGAGGCTCTAGGGACTAATAAGGTACCCACAAGTGGTGGGTTCCAACTTTTGTGTTAGAGTTGGATATAGATTGTTGATGCTTTTCTCTGTGTCCACTGATATCTGCGTCCACAAGTGGCGAAGTCTCGACTCTGACGGTAATCCAACTATTGATGAGGCCCTTACAACTAACAGGGTTACCATCTACTGGTGAGACATGTCAACTAACAGGGTTCCAACCACTGATGAAGCCCTTACCAGTAATGCAACTCGACTAATAGCTAAATTTAATTATCGGATACACCTGTTTAATAAACACGTTTAATCTTTGCCCAGGTTCAAGCTTCACTAAGTTCAATTAATAATCACGTTAAACCTTTGACTAGATTCGAACAGTGACCAGTTTCGATCAATAGCCATATTTGACTCGTCTATATTTGACTTGGTGACTCGTCCCTTGTCTGGATTCGATCCTAACCAGGTAAACTCTGTGATCAAATTCGACCCAAAGCTGTGGCCTTGGCTTCTAAATTTTGAGGGATCGTCTGAGTGCTGTGTTGTCTCGACAAGTTACGGGAACAAATTCAATGCATCGGGTTTAATGTTCCCCAATAAACAGGGAGCAGGGAAGGGATGTACTTTAGCCGCCCCTCGTGTCGCCACTTGGCCCCTTCCTCTCCATAAATCCTCACTAACCAAGGAACGTCCTCGTCAACAGATGCCCACAAAAATTATCATTATCAGTTCTTCAGAAGGCAAGATCCTCAACTAACTTTGTCTATATGAACTCTCTTCTACTGCCTGTTACTACAACATTGTTGCAACAGACGATCTCTTGCTACACTGGAGTCTGCATAAGCTCTTCATATGCCGTACAGAATATGTACTCGTACAGAACCACTTGCTTCAGTACGAGTACAATGATCTCGAGTTACCTGCATATTTACAATATCATCACAAGAAAAGCTTTTAACCGCCTGCGGCTTTTCCAGCTAAACAGAAGACGACTCCAAAAATTATCTGAGATCTCCTGGAACAATCAGAGAACTACATGCTCTATATGAGGATAACCCTGAACCATTCGAAGACTCCTGGTGCCATGTAATGTCACAAGAAACTGTCCGAGGGCTCCATGAGCCGTATCATTTTTCCAGGAAATCGTCTGAGAACTTAGAATTCTAGGAGTCTTCAGTGTACGTAACAATAACATGATTTTCCGGAACTATGCATATGTACGAATACTGGCTGTATCTATCCCGCCACAAACTCAATAGAGAGTCAGTAAGTTACTACCAGCAATGAAACATTTATGAATTCTCATGTAGCAAAGTACTTGAGGAAGAGGTAGTTGACTTCATCTACCAAAAGAAATTGGTAGAAGAGAAGGTAAACTCCAAATGAATAATTTCGTACCTTCCCCTGTCCATTCTTTATTTTTCCTCGTACATAGTGCATTCTGGTGCCGTAATAACTTGTAAATATTCGTACAATTCAAAGATAGTGTTTGAGGGCAAACACATACAAAGTTTTCAAGGCAGTTCAATAAACTCTCAAGACAATTTTCGTATACACTAATTTTGTAAAGATCTTCTGGAAATAACGTTTCATCCAAGACGTAACGCATCACAGACTTAATTTTGTCCGGAAGAAAATATCTCAAGCTGTTGTGAAGAACAAAATCTTGTCCGAACGTTAAGTAAACTATTTCTCCACAGTACCTAAGACCTTACTTAAAACCCCTACTTAATACCTTACTTTTAAGACCTAACTTAGGACCTTGCTACCAACACGTCATGGCCACATCAATCATAAGACCTGAAAACACTGTTAACAGGTAGAGACAGGTGCGACGACAAGGACCTGGTCAGCAAAGGAATGACAAGAGCCTAGTAAGCAATGGTACAAGGGCCTGGTAAGCAATGGCACAACAAGGAACGGGCCAGCAACGGTATGACAAAGGCCTGGTCAGCAACGGTGTGACAAGGGCCTGGTCAGTAATGGTACAACAAGGACCTGTCAGCAACAGTACAACAAGGGCCTGGTCAGTAATGGTACAAGCACCTGGTGAGAAACAGTATGACAAGGGCTTGGTCAGCAGTAGAGAGATGCGAGTGTGCAAGGGAGCCAGATGACTGATGGGTGGGATTAGCATTAATGGTAATGGAAGGACTCAACTCACTCTGTATCTCAGTGGGAACTCTTTGCCTAGGAGAAGATATAATACAGCTTCCAATGAAATCTTGTGAGGCTTCCACGTGCACAGTTTATATGCTTTCCGGTTCCCCATTGCTGGGAACAAGGAGCAAGTTAGTCTTATCAAGGTTTCTCCAAGACAGCTATCGATCTTCCCCAGGATGCAACCCCACAACAGTTGCCTAACTCTCGGGTATCTATTTACTGGTAGATGAACAGAGTCAAAATAAAACGTGACTGAACGTCTTGCAAGGGAGTCGAACCCGGAATCTTGTGAAACGCCTTCGCTGACCTATTGAAAGATATACCAATTACAAAAGGGAATATTTTTTTTTTCTGAGGGAAGGAAATGATGACATAAGCTGGGTGGTGAAGCTCGCTTAACTGTAACTGGACGCATTCTCACTTTATCCACACCAACACATTTGTGCAGTTGACAACAATGAATTGTCCTAATGATCCAGGTGACAAGTCTAAGATTAATATATATACATGTTTATATATATATATATATATATATATATATATATATATATATATATATATATATATATATATATATATATATATATATATACACATATTTGCTTTA